TAAACATTAATTTCAACAGAAGAAATTATGTGTATGTGAGAACATTAAACTCATAAGTCAACTTTTATTTTATGAAAAATATTTTAAAAAATTATATTAAAAAAATTATATAACATTCATTCTACAGCCTGATCTCTTAGTAGCAAATGGACATCCCACCCAGTGAAGCAAAAATGCTTAATTACCACTTAGAGAGGTTGGATTGGATGCACTTGCAATCAGAGAAGCAAAGAAGAACATGGAGATGGAGACCGATAATCAGTGGCGGACCTAAGGCCCGACACACCCTCGCTCGAGAATTTTACGAAGGACCTACATATTTTTGGTACAAAATTTTTTACTTCGGGATAGCGACACACCCTCAATAATTATAGCCGACACACCTTTATTATACTCGAAGAAATTATTATCCAAATGAATCGATCTTAATCATAATCCTTTTTAATTTTGTTTAAAATAACTCATAAAGCATAATCCTATCCTTCCTATTAAAAAAAACACTCTTCGCCCATACAATATACATTACTATCAAGTCGATTTATTCTATGCAGTTATAGATTTGCAGCTGCAAGAATTGAATACTCGATTTGGTGAGGTGAACACTCGATTGTTGGACTGCATTTCTTGTTTTAGTCCAGCTAACTCTTTTGCTTCTTTTGATAAAGCAAAGTTGATAAGTCTTACTGAATTTTATCCCGAGGAGTTTCCATCCAATGTGCTCTCACGACTTCATCAACAATTGGGGGCTACATTTCTCATGTCAAGGAGGATAAGAGCTTTAATGGATTTCGAGGAATCGACGAGCTAGCTAGGAAATTGGTGGAAAGGGGAAATGACACTCTTTATCCTAGTTTACTTGCTGTTAAAGTTGGTGTTGACCTTACCTGTGGCAGCTGCAAGCTGCGAAAGAGCATTTTCAGCTATGAAGATAATCAAGAACGATCTTCGAAATCGGTTGAGTGACCAATTTATGAATGATTATTTAGTTGTGTATATTGAAAAAGATTTGTTTTGCAACATAAGTGATGAATGTATTTTAGAGACATTTCAGCAGATGAAAAGTCGTCGCGATTCGTTGTAAACATGACATTATGAACTTTATGAATTAATTTCTTTTAATTTTTAATTTATTTTATCGGCGACACACCTCTCCGACAATCCTGGGTCCGCCACTGCCGATAATCACTACAGAAGGAATCTATATCTATAGCTTCAAAAATATCGCAATTTAAAAAAAAAAACACTAGATTCGAATCATTATAATTCAATGGTTTGGTTCATGATCAATCCACACTCTGCAGACAATCATGGAGGAGATCGAGCTGGTTTAATCTTCAATCCTAACCCTCTTATCAAATTAATTATATATACAGATTTAGTTGACAATTCCAAGATTAATGATCTTAAGTCTATGCCCCCCTGCTTTTTTTCTTATCGAAACCAGGCTGTTTATGTTCAATTATGTACCAATCCTCACTTCATTGCTCGCAACTACGTAACAACTCCACCTCCATAATTGGATCGGCTAAAGCTAGCCACGACTTTTTTTTTTTTTCAAGCAGTGTCTATTTCTGTAGCACAGTTAAGAGGCAATAATAGTACTTGTGTTCACGAACTCGATTAAATTGGCATAATTTGGTTCATTATTGTTCTTGTCTCTATATACAGTTCCTTACTTGTACACAAAACAGTGCACAATAAAAGAAGTTCTTGAGGTTATTAGGGTTATAAATGCATAATTCAATGAACCAAGAGTGCTACAATTAAAAACTACGCAATTAAAGAAGTGTCTACGAGCATATGCAAGTGGCATGAGTACTACTACATCTGTTTTTAGGAGACAGAAAGAGTGAGAGTTAGTTAATAGATAAAGAGTTATTTTAGGTACTGGAAGATTCGACATTCGTCGCGCGTGTTATTTATTCGTGACCTGAGATATTATTCTGAGGTGGTGATTGTGTAATTATTCACACATGAATTGGATTAAATCAAATCGAATCAAAATGAAAATTTAATGAGCTTGATTTTCTTTTGAATTTTTGGATTGGTAAAATTTTGTTTTTGTTTTGATATAGTAGGATCTAGATATAAAGAAAAACTGTAGACCAATTCAAGATTGGAATGAACCAACTTAGTTAATGAGTTATTATTGTTTTGTTTGGTTTTCATCCGGAGCACTTCTACTATGCCATATAGCATTGGTGCTTTAATGTACAACTTGAAGTTGTACCATAACATTAAATGTATAAGTTTAGGTTGTACCATAAAGGAATTTGTATTATTATGTTATGGTACAACTTTACAACTTAAAGCTGTATCATCACATAAGGTACAAGTTTAAGTTGTACCATAAAAGAATTTGTACAAAAAGTTTAGGTACAATCTGAAATTGTACCGTAACGTTAAAGGTACAATTTCAAGTTGTACCATAAAGGCAAAAACCTATAGCACCAATACTATATAGCATTGTAAAATTCCTCTTCATCCGGATTAATATGCTGATTGTCTGACTCGATATGATTCTCTAGACTCCTCCTAGCTAGAGATTATTCTTTCATGAAATGGCAATTATAGATAGATTGATCAAAGAGAATAAATTAAATTGGTATTGATGCCAAATTTTAACCTTGTCTCCATATTCCTACAAACTAATGGATTATAGAACTTGAGTTTAGCTTAGCTAGGTGAGACAAATACAGAATTGGCAGTAACTATACGAGGGCAAGGCAGCTGGAATTCAATAATATCCCATTTCAACCACACATCCTAATTAAGCGCCTAAACATACAAGTTGTTAAATGCCAATGAATCGCCTATTTATCGATCTTAAGGATCGGCACAACACGTAACATTATGCTCCGTTCGGATAATTAAATGCTTAAACCGAGCTCAAAGAGCATATGACCTATGAGTTTATATAGTCAATGCATTTTTTTACCATTATAATTAAAAAATAAATCAAAATTGTGAAATCATATTAACATGACCTCAATCCCATATGAGGTACACAAATAAGTTTTAAGCAAATCCTAAGATCCTGCTATTTACTTCTCCCGTCGTTGGTTCAACTATTTCATATCCTTAACTTAGAGTGTTTCCCTAACACAATCATGATCCGCGAAGAGAACTTGGACACAAAAACTGGGTCTAGCTACCGATCTCCAACGTTTTACTTGAGTAAAGAATGTAATCGGACCTAACACCTTGCGAAGAAAATCAGAAGGGCTTATTAATATTGATTTCCCCTGAAAATTTAGATTAGAGATATTTGGGTCAAAAAAAAAAAAAAAAAAAGAGGCTAGTTAGTTTGGAATGAAGCCAAGCAACTTTCCTTGAAGTGAACCAAAAGAAACAACTATAGTCTATAGTTGCGTTGGAATGAAAACGCCTTACACAACCAAACCAGCTTCTTCTTCCTTTTCTGGTTTCTTTTCCTTTATAATAATTGTTCTTTTTTTTTATATTAAATCTTCTTCTTCTTCCCTTTTCTTCATTTTGTTCCTTTTTCATTAACTGAAGGGCAGGTTTGAGATGGGTGTAGCTAAGTAAGCTTGAATATGTCTTTTTCTCTACTTTGCTGGCGGCTTCACTCAAGCTTCACATGATTAAGCTAAGCAAAACAAAAAAAAATGGTAAATATAATTTATCATCCCGACGTCACTCCTAAAAAAAAATAACTTTGGTGTTAAAATACTGATAAAAATAAAATCGTGACAAGACCCAACTTTATTACACAATGTTACACGGTACACATGTTTTTAAGTTAGCTAGCTAGTTAACAACACTGCGCGGCTTAGGCCTTGGAGAGTGATATTATTAATAAAGCAAAAAAACGGTGCGCAGTTGGCATGCTTGCTTTGCATCGTGCTCAAACAGCAAACGCTACCACCTTCTTTCTTCTTCTCTTCTGTGTCCTCTCTACTACCTTGCTTGCTGCTTTAACCTTTATATTATAAACAATTGGTTTGTTAATTAGCTTTAATAATTAAATCATAATTAACGATCGAGTGTTTGGCATGACTGAATGGTTACGGGTTACCGATAGAGAGAGAGATCACGTATATAGTACTATATACTATACTTACTGATGTAGCTTGCTTAGCTACTAGCTAAATACGGTTTTGTGCGCTTAAAGAAAAAGAGTGAGTTGTTTATGCAATAACTGATGGCTAGCTTTCGATTAACGCTACTGATGATCATGATCATATACTAAGTAACAACACCAAACCTTTCTTTGAACTGTCCCCAAAGAAAAAACGCCCCCATCAGTTTTCACCCACATCCACATACTACCTAGAGAGAGAGAGAAACATGATCACCACCTCACTCACTCTCTCTCTCCTAACCTACTTTCTCACCACTAGTTTTTTTCCTCCCCCCACCTAATTTATCTTTCCATCTCTCACCTATCGGATTTTTTTTTTAATTACTAATATTAATCTCCCCATAATCCCACTAATTACCGCTCTCTCCTAATTTCTTGATTAATGTAATTCAACCCTTTATTTAATTCGTTGTTAAATCGTCATACATTAGCTTAGTAAAAAAGGGAGTGAGGTGGGGGGAAGTATGTGTAAAAGAAGCGTACGAAACCGATGGAGCAAAAGCATCCACCGGATGACGTGGAAAGAAAGAAACTACTTGTGAGCAACACTTGGAAGGATGAAAACGCAAGCAAGGTCCTGCGTTTTGGAGTGTGTGGAGGGCAAGAGTCGCTCGTCTCGTCTCACTCTACGTGGGTTTGGTTTGGTGTTACCAAATTGCCCCATTTATTCCTTTTCCAACTATATACTCAATATATATACTCTTATTATTTCTCAATAATTAATATTCTCCGTAATAATAATAATCGCATCACTAAGTAACAATCGCTGGAGGGCGGCGTTTTGACTCGGCACCCAAAAGAAAAAAGAAAAAAACCTTTTCGGCAAAGCGTACGATTAATTCGTGAATTTTCCCCCACCCCGTACTATATATATTAACCTAAAACCCAGCGGCTTTCCATCAGCAGCAACAGCAGCCAGTTTCCACTCTCATTAAAAAAAAAAAAAACACAGTGAGAGAGAGAAACGACTTCCAGCTATGGAGACGGAAGCAAGAGTGGTAACTGGAGAAGACGACGCTCAGTTCGCAGCTTCTACCAGCGGCGGCCCGCAGATGATGTTGATCAGAGGCAAGCGGGCCAAACGGCACCGTTCCGCCTCTCCTCCTCCTCCTCCGCTGAAATCCTCCACCTCGTCATCCGCCGCCGCCGCCGCCACGTCGTCCGGAGAGAGTCAGAGATCGGCGGCGACTTCTTCCGGTTACGAGAGCAGTACCGAGGAGGAAGAGGACATGGCGAATTGCCTGATTCTCCTCGCTCAGGGCCGGCGGCGACACGTGCCGGAGCGGAAGAGAACCGCCGGGGAGATTATGGGTTCGAGGAAATTCTCCGACATCGCGACCACGACGAACAAGGCCGGGTTTTTTGTCTACGAGTGCAAGACTTGTAACCGCACCTTCCCTTCTTTCCAAGCGCTGGGCGGCCACCGGGCCAGCCACAAAAAGCCCAGGCCCACTCCCGGCCCGCCTGGGATCGAGGACACAAAGGTAATTTCCGCCAGTCCGATTCCAGCCTTTCAGGTTGAGATAAGCAACAGCACCGCCGTGGTGGTGGCGGTTGCGGCGGAGGAGAATCATCCTCGTCAAAATTCGCCGACGCAGTCGGCCACCAATAGCGGCAAGGCGGCGGGAAATAAGGCCGCGAAAGTCCACGAGTGCGCGATTTGCGGGGCGGAGTTCACCTCCGGGCAGGCGCTCGGCGGGCACATGAGGAGGCACAGGGCGACCAACGCCGGGAACCAGACGGCGACGGCGACGGGGGTGGTGACGGCGACGGCGGCGGGTATTGTGGACACGAGCGCCGCGGTTGATTATGAGGATCTGAATAACCAGCAGAAGAATCATGTGCTGTCGCTGGATCTTAATTTGCCGGCGCCGGAAGATCTCGACACCCACCAGCATCACCGTGCGGAGCAGTCTCCGTCTCCGTCCAAGTTCCAGTTCGCGTCGAAACAATCGACGAAGGCGATGATGTTCTCGGCTCCGGCTTTGGTCGGGTGCCACTACTGATCGGAAACAGGAGAGAGAAGGAAGAAGAAGAAGAAAAAAACTGGAAATGGAATTAATGTGAATTATTATTATTTTTGCTTAGTTACCATTATTGATTCCCGATTTTTATCCAGAGCTCAATATACAGCCTATACTTAGAATTCTTTCCAATTTTTTTTTTTTTTTTTACAATTCATCAATTCGGTCCAATTCCTTCCTAGTTATTATTATACAATAAAACAAATATGTGCACAAAGCTTCTGTTTCTTTTTGTTGGTCTTTAATATGTGGAGAGTGTGTAAGCAAGTTGAAAAGGAAGGCATTTTTCGAGCTAGTGGTTAATAGTGCGTGTTCACGGTTTGCCTTGTTTTCACGAAAAGTGGGTGAGGGAAGACTTTATTTTTGAGGGGTTATCTGCAATCAGAAGAAAATTTTGGGGTTCCCTTAGGAATTCTTTTCCTGCTGGAAGAGTATTAATTGTGTAACAAGTAAGATTAGATAGTAAAATACAAGATAATAACACTTAACATTATGAAAATGGTGGATAAAATATTGTAATTAGGAGGATGTGGCTGGCATCACCACCACCACAACCAATAGTTGTAGATTTGGTTCTTCTCCTTCTCATACGAGTTTAGCCTCACAAGATTACATTTTGATTTGCTTTTTTATTGAAACAAGTATTAACATATACTAACGTTATTTATGCCAAAGGGAGATAACTAAATTGCGCAATGCCAAGGGAATAATTATTATGAAAGAAAGAAATGAGAAAAAGTGGGGAAATGCTGAGTTGGTCACTGGCACTGCCATATGTATCCCACCTGTATCTCCCAACTTTCTGTTTTCCTCCCTTTTTTTTTTCCTCCAGCAAATTATTGGGATTTATTTATTCAATTTTTGTAAAATTGGAGAAATATATGTGGCAGTGGGTGTACTTTGCTTTCAGTTGGGAGCTAGCTGAGCAGAAGAAGAGAGGGAGTGAGGGAGGGGAAGTGCTCTACTCAGTTGCACCTAATTAACCAACTGGCAACTGCACCCATCATCTCTTCCTTTGCAAGTCACTTTTTTGCCAACTAGAGAAAAAAACAAGCAAAAGGAAAATAAAAATAAGGAATGGAATAAGAAAGATGAAAAAAGTGACACCTTACTTCATTAGATCCCATGAATTGGGTCCATCCATTTATGTTCCCAACATAGATACATCTCCCACTTCTCCCTCACTCCATCCTAATTCTCCCACTTTGACCACACAAATCACTCAGAGTCGCTCGTAAAAATTCGTTACTGAAATTTCGAGCTACGACAACACTTAAAAAAAAAGCACTCTGATATTTCTTTTGTGAGTTTGCAGTCCCTGTAAAAGGAACTTTTGCAATACAAAATAGTATTTTATTTCGTCAAATATTATACTCAGATTACTGTTCGAGTCATTATACTGTACACACGTATCGTCTCACACATGCGTAGAGAAAGAGATTAGGGGAGGAGAGAAGGAGGAGAAGTAGGAATTTGTGAAGTGCACGTTAGAGGAGAAAAAAGCATGTGAGGGTTTACATATTGCGTGACATGTCCAAATACTAATCTGCTCTCAATGTCTCATCCCCCTAATCCTATCTGTCCATCTCTCTCTATCAAATTTTTTGTTAAACTGAATTAATCAAACATCCCCACATGTCCCCATTCAATCTCTACTAATCCCAATCTCTTCAGCTAATCACTAATCAAGCATATAGAATTAGTCGATCATACCCTAATTAGCATTGTTAAGCACATGTACAATAAATGCTGTAAGTAGTGGTGGTGACCAAAACAATGTCTGCTAACATCCCTATCTCCCCCCCCCCCCCAAAAAAAAAATCCTCATGGCAAAATAAATAAATAAATAAAAAAGAGTTGTGTCTAATAAATTAATGATTAGGATGTGATGATAGACACACACAAAAAAAAAAAAAAAAAAACAGTTGGGAGGAAGGAGTGGTGGTAGTGTTTGAGTGAAGTTGGAATGCCTGCAAAAAAGAAGTTTTGAGAGGATAGGCTATTTTTCTTTTATTTTTGGTGTGTGGATTCATGTTCTTGGCTGTATTCTTCAACTATGTGGCAAGTGGAGTGGGATCACTGGATATGTCCTATGTGAGAGTCTTCCAAAACTGCTAAACTCTCTCTTTCTCTCTCTAACTTCAATCCACATATGTGTTCCATTGGGGAATTTTATCCAAAACCAACTCAATCCGGTAGTGGAGCTATGGATCATATGGTAAATATACACCGTAAAGCGCGGTAGAATGATAGATTGTTGTGATTCTCTTTTCATTTACAATATTCCTCGCTCCGAATTTTTCAGTTTCAACCTGGATTGAGCATGTAAAATTTTCACTAATTTGGGTTGAGTTGGTGATATCCTAGCTAATCCGTTGATCACAAGTAGTTTATTTTGATTAGAGAAAAGGATATCAAAATGCATCTGACGAGGTAATCATTCCCAACAGGAATTTATTAGATCAATGAAACTCATAATCTTCTCCATATTGATGAATTCGTTGCCGCGACCACGATTGTGTTGCTTTTGCTATATTACAATAAGAAAAATTCCACTAGCCAACTAAGGAAGTATATAATTGTGATATTCGTTTTTTATTTCTTCTTTTTTTTCTTCTTTCTGTATGTGATTCTATTGATGTGGAAATGCCTGCAGGTAAAGCATGGTGTGGCTTCCTATTCGTGGCATGTCATAGTCCCAAATGCCCACTTTTGGCATCAAACCCTACCTCGATCGATCTACCCCCTCATTATCCCAACTTCCATTATTTTTCTCCAAAAAAAAACTTATATTCCACTCACTGTAAAAAAAAAAAAAACTTATATTCCACTATTTCATTAAAAAAAACTTGTATTCCACTATGTTTCTTTTTTATGGAGTAGTAATTAACAACCGTAATTATATATCGCTTTATCATTTGATCAATATATCAGTTGTTTAATATATTTTTTACTTATCAAAACATAGTTCACTCTATGAACGTCCATTTAACGCTTTAAGCAGAGTGTTCGTGATAAGCGACTAACAACTGTTGTCGACGGTGGATATATATCTTGGTGAATACGGAAAAAAAACCCCACACACCTAGTACCCATTTTTGCAATGTGTTTGTGGACAATGTGTCTTAAGTTGTCCATTTTCTCTTTGGACCTAAACAAATCAATGTTAATCTCTGTGGTTCACACCCAAATCTCGGGATTAGGTCTATATAATGATCTTCTTCAAAGTTGATCAAATTAATGTGTGCAAGTGCAAGAGTGTGTTCCCATTACAAGCTTTTAGACTAAGATACCGTATCTGCCAGCCCTACATCACGGCATCAACAAATAAGGCAAGATCCATGGCGTTGGCCTCAAATTAACAAAATATTTACTTCGTAATAGGAAAAATACATAGGAAAAATAATTGTTTTTCTTTAATAAGTGTATTTAGCGACAACTTAGTAGTTAGTAGTCTCCTATTGAACAAGTCACAAATTCAACTCCCATCAACAAACTTTGAGAGAGAGATCTCACATCTAATTAACATATGCATGTATTATTGTTCCCATCTAACTAAAAGGGTGCAAGTGTCCCACATATGTGGTTGAGAACGTGCACATTGACATATGAACAAACACATGTAACTTGATTGTAAATAAAAGGGGGAAAAAACAAGAATACATGCTTAGAGAAAATAAAAGAAGCTTATTTTTTGGCAAACAGAGTTGTCATTTTATTTGATAGTGATAGTGATATCATGTATTTACAATAGCGAAGCAGTCAGCGTCTAAAATCAAACGCATAAATAAATAAAAAACGTTTGCAAGACCTTTTATGTCTTAAGATGGACAGTTCGATTTACATATTGGTGTGCAAAATTAAAGCGTATGGAAAAACGTTTTAAAAAAACTAGATATTGAAAGAATCTTCATGCACCTATGCCACCAAAATAAAATAACCGATTCATCAGTTCCATCTCATCTTTGATCATAAGTATACCGCATTTTGTATGCACCAATAAAATTCCTATCTCGAGTTTTAACGACATTTATATGGGCCTTTGGTGTTTATATGACCGCTCGAATCGACAGAATTTATTAAGTGAAACTCATCTTCAAATTTTGTGACTTTTCGTTATCAGAGTCAAGTAACGGTCGATTAAGTACCAAATATCACAAAATGTCATGTGGACAAATTTGTATGGTGGATGTGGGTTTTACTGTTTTACCAAAGACGAGAGCTTTCAGTGAACATTAACCTAAAAGGAACGCCCAAAAGCAAGAGGAAGAGCAGGAAGCTTGTGACCAGAATCCAGAGTGACAGACCCACTATTTCCCTCTCTTTTGTGCCCATCTCTGGATGGAGGGAAAAGTTCATGCAGTAGCACCACTTTTCAGCATAATTATATGTTAAAACCATTATTGATGGCATGGGGGAGATGCTAAATATGTGGCTCTGAATGGTACTTTTGATGAGTTTTATTGCCTTCCTACTCGGCTACTTTCCCATTCGTTTTAGCTAATTATCCACTTGGGAGTGTGAAAATAGTCATGTGGGAATGAATGGATGGATAGTTGAGTAGTATTATTATGTATTTAAGTAAGCAGTATTGGTAGAGGGAAAGAAGAAGGTGAGGGTTATTGGGAGCAACTGGTTCTTGACATGGTATCAGAGTCTTCTGTGATCGAGAGGTCTTGTGTTCGATTCCCGGTGACCCCCATTTGTTAAGCACATGGTATTCTTGTCTTCAGACCTGTGCAAACTTCAAGCCCTTGTGAGTGGCTTTCGTTTGAGGGGGCGTGTTAGTGTTGTGGTATATGATCCACGATTGAACCTCTCCTAATAATTCGAGTTATTGGGAGCAACTGGTTCTTGACATGATGCTATGATGGATCACAGTCGGCCTGAGTAGATGTAATCCAGATTTGTTCTTTGTGAGATACCCTTTTTGGCATCTTTTTTTATCTTTCAATCATGTATATTAAATATTTCTCACTGTAGAATAGAACAACAAAGGTTGCTGTGGTGTAGTGGTTATCACGTTTGCTTTACACGCAAAAGGTCTCCGGTTCGATCCCGGGCAGCAACATTCTTTTTTTTTCACATTGTTTTTTTTCTCACCCATGCCTGCCTGGTCACTCTCTATAATAAGTTCACTTAGGGATGAAGCGATAGGTATAAAATTTGTAGATTACAACAACAAAAGTTGCTGTGGTGTAGTGGTTATCACGTTTGCTTTACACGCAAAAGGTCTCCGGTTCGATCCCGGGCAGCAACATCCCTTTTTCACATTCTTTTTCTTCTCACCCATGCCTGATTGCATTTTTTTGCCAAAACTATCTATAATAAGTTCATTGATGGACGAAGGGATCAACCTGTCATATAATCTGTTCCATCGATTCATTTAAGTAAAACGTGAAGTCATCTCCAAAAACATTCTGCAGTACATGCCTTCTCAATTCTCATCCTTGCCTGGAAACTCTCTATAAGACTGAATTACACAACAAACTACATATATGGATGAAGGGATCAACCATAAAATTTCATGTTCAGTACATTTGTACGGTTTACAAACTAATTATGATTTGTTGCCTCCAACTAAACACATTCACAACTCCGCTTGCACACCCCCCCTGCAACAATGGGAAATAATTCAGTTCCAGCAGTGAAGAGTGAAGACTTTAAATTTCTGGAATTTCTTCCATTGATTTAAGAAAAATATCCTCGGCATCCATTTCGAACGATGTAAATGGTTGGTGATCACATACCAGAAATGTGAAAGTTGTCCAGAATGAACTATTTGTTTCAGGTGTCCCTGGGGGTTATTGGAAGCAGGTACAAATGACCTCAGTTGGCAAAGACATTCAACCTTACACGGGCAGTGACTTCAGGATGAAGCTTGAGTTCAGCAACATACTCTCCCGTTTCACGAATTTCTGGAAGCGAGACAATACGCTTGTCTATATCCCTATGGGAATCAAATAATAAGAATTAAGTGAAGTACCTTTGAAGAATATTGAGAAATGATGCTAGGAGATGTTTCTGTGGCTGGGCAGGAAATTCTAAAGAGGAGAATGTTCTTTGATGGAGAGAACAACTACAGCATGCTAAGTCTATATCATAGCTAGAGAAAGCTGGATACCTCTGAAGCTGTGCCTTTATGATGTCGACGAGATCTTGAGCAGTCACACTGCCAAATATCAGTTTGCCCTTTCCACCTTTGCGCTTCACCTTGAAAGCTCCAACAGTTTCAAATATCCGAGCAAGCTGCTGAGCGTCTTCTTTTACCTGTCAAAAGCAAGTAGCCGACTATATCACAACAATTAAATAAGACGAACATAACTATGCTTCGCATGTAAATCCAATCCTTACCCGTAGTTTCTCAGCTTCAATTCTTTCCTCCTCCATTTTCATTTCCCTGAAATTACGAATATAAGATGCATTTCAGTTCTCTTTGTGTATGGTTTACAAATCAGGGTGGCCTGTAAATCAAACAATGCAGACAAAAACCTTATAAAGCATATGAGATATTCGTCCAATTCAGAACCTACTCGTTTACTCAAAGCTCAAAAGTAAAATGAAGTATGGATTCTATGTGCAGGAAACATTGAGAAGACAGTGTTTTGCTCGTCTTTGCAGAGATAACTAGTATTGGTCAGCCCTATCCCACTAGATAACGCAAGATAACTTATAGCGAATCATGTTCGTTAAATTCGAATAGATTGTGAGTTATCGATCTGCATGGAGTCTACAATGCAATCAATTACCAGCTCCAAGTTCTTACCTACTTACAGAAGTAGTACAATCACCTACTATGTATGTCCCTAAGAGTCTACATTTCCTTGAATCATTTCGATCTCCGAACAACTCATTGCAAGGATTTGACCACGTTTGCTGTACCATACTAATGCAGCAGAAGGATAATGCAAAGAAAATGCGCAAGGGAATTAGAATTTGCAGCTGTAGAGTTACTTGAGTAAAACAGGAGTGACAATCTGGGCCTTGCCCATGGGCAGGAGGAAGTTCCTGTAGAAGCCAGCCTTCACATCAATTAGCTGCCCCCTCTTCCCCACATACTCCACATCCTCTTTCAATATTATCTAACACAATAGAAACCCACCAAATTGAAAAACATAACAGCAAGGCCAATTGAACAGTCTAGCTAGTCAAAGCTAAGAAACAATTCACAGCAATGAGAATTAACCCAATTCCGCATGTATGCAGGAAATACGTTTACCTTCCTAGTCTTCTTGGCTTTCTTCTGGGCAATGACCGGCATAGCCAATTTTCTATCTGGCATCACGGAGGCTTCATTAGTTTGTCCGGTGAAGCTGTGAAGCAAAGAAGAAGAGCTCCAGGACAGAGCTGCTGCCGCGTATGAGGATGCCATTTTCAAAGGAGCACCGCGAAACGCTGCCTGATGTTCTGCTTACAAACTGGGACTTATCCGTTTCTCTCGAATTCCTCTGCGATTCTAGTATCCACTCCACCACCAGAAATCCAGAACTAGATGAAGAAGAAGCAAACAGCATTTGCAATTACAAGCAGGCTTTTCATGTGAAAACTGGGCCTCAAAAAATTGTCAGCCCATAAAAAAGACGAAGCCCAAATAAAGTAGGCAACACGAGATTGGGCATTCCGTTTCAGAAGAATAGCCAGATTAGATCCCATCTCGCCTCCCACTTAATCCAACGATTCAGATCATCCACGTCATCAATCCTGCTCCACCTCTCTCAACCAATAATATCTCTCCGCCAAATTCGAATCCGCAGTGAAATTAAACGCGCCCTAACTTCCCAAAATTTCGAAAAGCCCGCTTAACAACAAATAAATCCTGCCCGTCCATCCATGAACCCCTCCATCCAACGGACTGTGCTATCCACGTCATCAATCCGCACCGATTGGGAACCACCAATCAGATCACACCTCTCACCTACTATAAATAAGAAAACCAACCTTCACAATTCCCAGTTCCCACCATCATCACAATCTCTCACAACTTACTTTCCCTCATCGTCTTCCTTCAACAAAACAAGCTCAAAACTCCCTTTTCCACATCTTTCCAATGGCGCCCAAGCCAGCAGAGAAGAAGCCTGCTGAGAAGAAGCCAGCAGAGGACAAGAAGGCCGAGAAGGCCCCTGCGGAGAAAAAGCCCAGAGCCGAGAAGAAGCTGCCCAAGGAAGGAGGCGCCGCCGCCGCTGACAAGAAGAAGAAGAGAAACAAGAAGAGCGTGGAGACCTACAAGATCTACATCTTCAAGGTGCTGAAGCAGGTCCACCCTGACATCGGGATCTCGAGCAAGGCCATGGGGATCATGAACAGCTTCATCAACGACATCTTCGAGAAGCTCGCTCAGGAGTCCTCCAGGCTCGCCAGGTACAACAAGAAGCCCACCATCACTTCACGGGAGATTCAGACCGCCGTCCGCCTCGTCCTCCCCGGCGAGCTCGCCAAGCACGCCGTCTCCGAGGGTACCAAGGCGGTTACCAAGTTTACCAGCTCTTAGATCTTTGTCTTTCTTTTGATTGTAAAGATGTGCAATGTTTAGTGGCACTGTTTCTGAAATTAGGGTTTATTGATTTGCATCTCTGGTGTTACATTTTGCGAGGGTTTAATTCGACTGAATTGAAACTGAGGAAATGAAATTACAGAGTTTCAGATTTGGGTATTCCCAATTGTATTGTGCTGTGAAAAGTTACTCACTTTTGTTACCGAATAGTCCTTTATCGAGAACCCAATCTTCAATCATGGCCTGTGAGTTAACAGTTTGATCAGCAGTTGCCATGTGCCCAGCTTCCATTAACACGACGCTTGTCAAGCTCTCGTACTTCTGAACATACCCACTTAGCTCACTCCCTTTCCCTTTCACCCTCCATATATTCTTCTCAGCCTTCATATAATTCTCAATTCCATCCCAATTCATCGTCCTGATCCAGGCCTCATTGGACGCCACACCCAGCCTTATATCCAAATTCCCCGAAAACAGCAACACCTTGCCCACTTTCTTCACCAGCAACTCCTCAACCTTCGACTTCACACTCTGCATCACGTCGCCATTCAACATAGCCCTGACCTTGGTGCTGCACACGTTGAACTCTATCGATGCGTTGGCGCCCATCTTCCTCTTCGCATCTTTGGATCGAAACAATCGCGTCACCAGGTATTGCTCGTAAGGCCTTTTCCTGGTGAAATCGTAATCTGTGGCCAAACCTGTCATGTTCATCATCAAACTCACACCACTAGTTGCAGCATTCGCAGCCTGCACCCATTTCTTCATCCCGACCAACTTCACCGCAGCCGATTGAACTTGCTCCAACTCGCTCCTCTGCCTCTCGTTTATCAGACCTACATTATAGGCCGTCGAAGCAGGAGTGGTAACTTGAGTCACAGGATCCGTCAACCCGTTCCCAATTGCAATCCCTTTCAAATTCACCCGTTTCGAAGCCGGCTGTTGCTCGTTCTGCTTCACGATATAGTACCTAATTGAGAGTTGAAGGTTGAAGGATTCAAATCATATTGTTGGTCAAAATTAACAATGATATGCCAATAATAAGAAGAAAATCGCCAATCGCCAATACCCAATTGAAGGAATGAACTTCCCGGCGTAGCTCTCTCCGGTGATGTAAATCTGACGGCTCCTGAACGCCGGGTACAATTCGAGAAACCCGGTTATGGCTGCGTAAAGGTGCTTGGCGACGGCGTCCTGGTCTCTGGGAATCTCTGCCGGGTCGGAAGCAACGCTGAACCCGGACCCAATCGGGTTATCCAGGAACAGCAAGTCAAATATCCGGTTCCAGGTACCCGGATTGGGTTTCAGGAAGACGTCGTTTCGATTTCCATCGTGACATTGGGAAACTCGGTATGGGCCGATCTCGAAGAAGTTGCCCAGCATGGAGGAGCAGGCTGGGCCGCCTTGGAGCCAGATGAGGATTGGGGTCTGTGACGATGGGCCCGGATGTGGGTGCTGGGCTTTGTAGTATGCGTAGAACATGGCGGAGTTCGAGCGGCCGGGATTGACCGGAATGTAGCCGGACTTCGTGGGGACGGCTTGGTCGGGGAAGTTCAGGCGGCATTCCGACGGTGGTGTGGCTGTGGAGGAGCGGGTTATGAGAGATGATGTGAAGATTAGTAGTATTATGAAGTGGGAAAATGAGACTTGTAATGCTGCTGCCATTGCCATATCTAAATGTGTTCTTTTTTTAGGTGTAGTTTGATCAAATGCTTCGTGATATACATGTATATATACGTTAGAGCAGAGAGAAAAGAGATTTATTATAGTTCCTGCTCTTAAACGAGCAGAGTTTTTTAAGTATAGGCATGGTGTGGTAACCTATTAAGTTGTGTGTCCGCACTCCGCATGCTAAAGTTGCTAATACTATTTGTGGTTGTGCACCTATCTTTCGGTGCATTTGTATCGTTTCCTTCTTTATTTATAAAAAAAATAAGAGTTGGTGTGTAATAATGTTTTATGCCTGTTACCGTAACATGCACTTTTCGGTTGATCTGATTGCTAACCGCGATCGACCGAATACACTAATGTGGATAATATGATGACTTATCACGGTCGACCTTTGAAACGTAGTGGTCGATCATTTTGTGTTAAGTTGTGACATTACCGGTCGACCACAATAACATATGGGTCGCCCTTTTCATTGTAGGGGTCGTTTGGAAGTTATGATTGTTAGAGTTGTGTTTGTAAAACGTGCATTGTTTTAGGTAGGTCCCACAAACTAAAGTTGAGATTGTTGTGATTGTTGCTTTTAGATTTGTGTCAACTTTTTCTTTCCATTTATGTCGCTAATAGTTTTTGTCTTATACTAAAAGTTGAGGGTAAATATGACATTTCCCCATAAAAGTAACTTTATGTAGATCAATGCATAAAGTAGAATCTCAACAACCAAACAATGTATTGTTAAAATGCATCCATTGTATCAATACATGCATTTATATTATGGTGATTCATTACAATGCAACGATTTAACATCCGCAACTTCCAAACGACCCCGCAGTCTGAAGCAAACTGGTCGACCGTAAAAGTAATGAGGTCGACCACTTGATTGTGGTCATTACCAAAATGGTCGACCATTTACAGAAAGAGGTCGACCATACAGAAGAGTAAAGTGCTCTATCCATTTATCCATCATTTTTTTACGTGAAATGAAGATCAAGTTTTGGTCTCGAGGTTGACCGAATACAGTAAAAGGTCGATCGAATTAAGGAAATTTAGCCTATGACCTTCGACATATTTGCATATGTATGTCGATGTGGGTGGTTCGTTTTATCGTTCAAATTACGTTTGATAGTCATTGGAATCAGTCTTAGATCATGATAGCAAGGGCCCATAACTTTTTAACATAACAACGTAATACACTAATAAGAAATATAATAAAACACATTTCATAATTGTTCACAGAAAACACACTTCATGAAATCGAAAACCACATAACAACAAAAAACAGAAGCTAAACTCATGAAGTTCCTACACCTCTCCACTATTTGAAACAACAAATTAAGTCGACCTAATCCTATATTAGATCGACCGAAAAGTACATGTTACGGTGACATACATGTTACCATAATAAAGTCATTCTATTTATGATTATCAATTTCCAGCATTTTCTTTTAATTAGCAATCAAACAGTTTTATGATTTCTGTTTTCACGTTATTGTAGAGTAAGTGGTATTCCACACCCAAATTTTCACGTTAATGGAGATGGTCCAAGGAAGTGGTGTGCCTTGCGTTATGTTTTTATTTTTGTTATTGGAGGTATACTTTTTTTTATATATAAAAATTGGTTTCTCTTGTGTTGGATTTTATATTTTGTCATATGAGAATATAAAATTTTCTATGGGCTTTAATATTTTCATGTGTGTATCATATGAAGAAATATAAAATTGGACTACTTTTCTCATGGGATATAATATACCGATTATCCACGTATGTAAGGTTTCGTATGGACCAATTTTATTGTAAGCCACTTGTCAATGTCGAATTAAATTCGTTGGTTGGTGAGTACCCAAGTAGGTAAACATTTTCTTGCTGCAAACGGCACAATATATAACTAAGTATATAGTTTTTGTAATATGCACCACTCCCCTTCTATGCTGAAATTTGTGAACATGTATGTTCGATGATGATAGCAGAAATCAAAAGTCACTATTGATCAGAGATCGCAATTAGCGTGGGCGGAAGGTTACACAAAAGTGTATTTGCAGATTGATTCTATGATTGTTTTTCGTATTTTGGTGTGTGAATATAAATGAGAGCACACATACTTCAATCTTGCTCAACAATTAAAAAAACATTCGACTCAAATGGGAGATGAAGTTATATCGCGTATATAAAAGGAGATAGAAACCCGTTCTTCGGGATCTACCGAAGGGTGGAAATGGAAATTGAAAATGGAAAGGAGCCTTGGTTTGGCTCCAGAGGGCGGCCGAGTATGTGGAGAGGGGAAGGAAAGTGTTTGATTGAAGGGGAAGAAGAAGAAGAGAGGAGGGGATCGGCGGCAGGTGGGCTGCCAAGGAGAAGTGGGGGTCGGCAAAGGAAAGAAGAGAGAGAGGGAGGGAGAGTGCAACAATAGGTTTAGGGTTTAATCATTTTGCTAATCTCATTCAACGTAGAAAAATAGTTTAAATAACAATTTCTAATTACCGATGACTACCCCAACTTATTAAACCCCCAATTAAATCCCCCAATTACCCATAAATTCATAAACAATCATAAACTAGCAAATAAGTCCAAATGCTAAATAAACCGAACTGCAGGTTTCTATCATCCCTACCTCCTTCGAATCAACCTTGTCCTCAAGGTTGCCAGTCCTCCACCCGATCTTCGCCCTTGCTTTCCGCTGCCTCGTCCTCGGCCTGATCCTCCCATCGTCCCACCAGCATCATCAGGTCCGGCTTTGCACACTTATGCCCAATGGTGAACCACTCATCACAATTGAAGCATTTGCCTTCCCTTCTCTTCTGATCAATCTCCGTTGAGCTTAGCCGTATGAAACCTTTAGGCAGAGTCCTCGGTCCAAGCTGAGTCGCCGGCGATGCTGCCCCCGGTGTCGCGCTCGTCCCGCCGCTAGTCGCAGTAGTGGTGACGCCATTTCCGCTACTCCCTGCACCGGCGTGACCTCCTCCTCCAGTCTTGGGGTAACGCCCTATGACGTTCCTCCAGCTCGCCAGCTCCTCCTCCTTATGCCCTGCAAGACGAAAAACAGCCCGTAAGGTATCTGGCTCAAAAATCTTGACTGCAGCAGCAATCTCTGGTTTTAGATCTGCCATGCACATGCCCACCAGGGTCTCCTCTGGGACTCCCTTACACTGGTTTCCCAGTTTGAGGAACTCCGCCCGGTAATCAGTTACCGAGCCGGTCTGCCTGAGCTTGGCTAGCTGCTCCGGCGCCCACCCTTCGGATTTGCCGAACTGGTAGCGAAGCTCCTCCTGAAATATCGGCCAAGTAATCAGCGTCTACGCGGCAGCATAGGATCGCTCTAACCACTCTCACCAATGCAGTGCGTCTCCCTCCAGATAGAAGGACGCCAGTTGCGCCTTCCTTTCCTCCCGGTTCGGGTGATTTTTAAACCACCTGTCAGCTGCATATAGCCACAAACCGACATCCTCCTGACCATTGAATTTCGGAAACTCAATGGTAGAGGGCTTGGCCCTAAACACCAACCCATACTCATCATCATACCGATCATATCCACCATACCTGCCAGCACTGTGGTAGCCTCTGTAGCACCCCGGGGGTCCGCGTGCGTCTTCTCCTGCACCCCAGCCATGCCCGTTCTCACCTGAGTAGTCTCCGTACCCGCCCGGTTGGACCCCTGTTTCGCCTGCTGCTGCTATCGGCGGTCCGTATGCACTCGAACCCTCCAGCTGGGCCCGCCATTCAGCTACTGGCCGGCCATCGGCGTCAACCCGAACTGGTGGGGTTTGTTTGCAATTCGGCCCATCCCGGTTCAGCCATTGGTGGTCCACCCGGCCCTTGTTCGGCCACCGTCGGTCCACCCAACTCCTGGTCGACCCTCATCGGTCAACCCGGGTCGACCATCAGCGGTCCACCCATCACCGGTTCGACCAGCTTCGGTCCACCCAGTTCCGGACCGACCGCCTTCAACCCAACCCGATTCGACCGTTGGGGCCCGACCGGTTCACCATGCCTCGATCCTCCCCGCCTGCCCGATCGAACCCGCTCCCGGCCCGCTGCACTCGGCCCATCTCGCGCTCCATGGGTTGTGAGCCCATTGGGTTGAAACACGGATTTTGGACCACGTTGTCGTAGCCCGGCATCTTTGCCTTACCCCGTATGGCCGCGATCTCCTCACCCGTCGGAGTTGGTAGCAGCCCGGGCCCATTACGAGGCCCTTCAGTATCGGAGCCCACTCGCTCAACCGCGGCCTGCCCTACGGTGGTCGCGGCTGCCCCTCCTCCTGGCCCGGTCGTCGCACCGCTGCCTGCCGGAACCGCCGCCGCTCCGCTACCCACCGGGACCGCCGTCACGCCAGCCGCCGAGACCGCCTCCGCGCCTCCACCTCTCGCGCCCGCGCGAGGGCCCGCCACCGCCGCTGGGCTAGTCCCGGTCTCCCCCATCTCGGCCCGATCTCTCCCGCTGAGCCCCAGTGTCGCAGCCAGCCGTCTCTGCTCCTCCCTCATGTTGGTGAGGAGTTGCATGATCACGTCACGTTCACGCCTGGCTTCTTCCACCTCAGCCTGCACCTCCTCCATGTTGGAGTCGGTCCTCAACTTCATCGCCATGATGGTGCGCATCGAGGCTTGGAGATTGTCACTCTCCGTCTTGTCCACCACGACTCCTTCGCGCCGATTGTCCGCCAAGGGAGAGGAAGCCCTAGTCGTGGCCGCCGCCGCCTTGGATCCAGCGTCAGACTTCTCTGTCGGAGACTTGGTGATCGCCATAGTTCTGCTGCCCGTCCCGGTGTAGAGTTGCGACAAACTCGGTAATCGGAATCGGGCTCCGATACCAGATGATAGAAACCCGTTCTCCGGGATCTACCGAAGGGTGGAAATGGAAAGGAGCCTTGGTTTGGCTCCAGAGGGCGGCCGAGTATGTGGAGAGGGAAGGAAAGTGTTTGATTGAAGGGGAAGAAGAAGAAGAGAGGAGGGGATCGGCGGCAGGTGGGCTGCCAAGGAGAAGTGGGGGTCGGCAGAGGAAAGAAGAGAGAGAAGGAGGGAGAGTGTAACAATAGGTTTAGGGTTTAATCATTTTGCTAATCTCATTCAACGTAGAAAAATAGTTTAAATAACAATTCCTAATTATCGATGACTACCCCAACTTATTAAACCCCAATTAAATCCCCCCAATTATCCATAAATTCATAAACAATCATAAACTAGCAAATAAGTCCAAATGCTAAATAAATCGAAATGCAAGTTTCTATCAAAAGGTGTAATAGGGCGACTGATTTTCTAACCAACAGAGGACAACAAATGAGTATAGGTTTCCATTAGTTTACTGTCTCGAATCCAGGTCTTGTCTTTTAAATGTTTTGAGTGGTTCATTCTTTATCCACATATTTGTTAATGTTGTACGAACCATTCATTAAAAGAACCATTCACCATCATATTCGTAAGGCAAATAACCCCTAGAAAGTGTGTTTGTGCCAAATACACGAGAAATTAAAAACGAGTATCACGAGGATAGTAAAACTCTGGTCCTTTGACTCATTAGCAACTGAGTTTAGCTCGATAGACTAACATATCCTATCCCTATGGAATGGTAAATATGCTAATAGCCTCACAGTCATCATAATGTAACACCCAAAAGAATGTACATATCTTCATGAGCCCAAAAAATTATGTATTATCACCTATCAGTATAGAAAAGGTTGGGGTTAAAGACACATTTGGTCACTGAGATTACTGAATCGGTACATGTTTAGTATCAATTTTAGTCACTCGAATTACTGAAACTGGTCATATATAGTCACTCTCCGTTTGTCTCCGTCCAACTCCGTTAATGAAGTCCGTTAAGTGCTGATGTGGCAAGGAGGAGATGGGAGGAAGGAGGAGATCGCGATGGCGATTTTGGGGAAAGGAGGAGGTGGGAGGAAGCAGGAAGAAGGGTTGGGTTGGATTGATTTTAATGACGTGGTGGGTTATAATGACGTGGTGGGTCGGGTTTTATTTTTATTCGGTTATATCCGGCTGATTAGGCTATTCTGTTTGCCACATCAGCACTTAACGGACTTCATTAACGGAGTTGGACGGAGACTAACGGAGAGTGACTAAATGTGACCTGTTTCAGTAATCGAGTGACTAAAATTGATATTAATTTTTTCTAGTGACTAAACATGTCCCGATTTAGTAATCCTAGTAACCAAATGTGTCTTTAACCCGAAAAAGTTGAGTAAGTATCCGAAGGTAAGTTTGTGCTGGGCTGCCCATTTAAGAAACATAAGCCCACCTAAGATCCCATCTACTTTCCCACTTAATCCAACGGCTCATACCATTACCATCCACGTCTTCAATCCGAACCCATCGCCTTCATCCAATAAAATACACCCGGGAAATTCGAATACAAACTGAAAATGAACTCGACCCAGCTCTCAAAAGTTTCGAAATCCCGCTCCAGAAAAAAAATCAATCTTAACCGTCCATCCATCCATCCTAATATTACATCCAACGTTCCTTAGTATCCACGTCATGAATCCGCATCAGTAACAGAGCAACCAATCAGATCTCACCCTTTCACCGTAATAAATACGAAACCAAACCTGCACCAATCTCATCATAATCATCCCAATCTCTCAAGTTCTTTTCCCTCTTCGAACTCCCTTTCTATCCGTTCCAATGGCGCCCAAGCAAGCAGAGAAGAAGCCCGCCGAAAAGAAGCCAGCGGAGGACAAGAAGGCCGAGAAGGCTCCCGCCGAGAAGAAGCCCAGAGCCGAGAAGAAGCTGCCCAAGGAAGGAGGCGCCGCCGCCGCAGACAAGAAGAAGAAGAGAAACAAGAAGAGCGTGGAGACGTACAAGATCTACATCTTCAAGGTGCTGAAGCAGGTCCACCCTGACATCGGGATCTCGAGCAAGGCCATGGGGATTATGAACAGCTTCATCAACGACATCTTCGAGAAGCTCGCTCAGGAGTCCTCCAGGCTCGCCAGGTACAACAAGAAGCCCACCATCACTTCCCGGGAGATTCAGACCGCCGTCCGCCTCGTCCTCCCCGGCGAGCTCGCCAAGCACGCCGTCTCTGAAGGAACCAAGGCGGTTACCAAGTTCACTAGCTCTTAGATTGCTCTCTTTCTGAAGTAGTGATTTTGTGTCGAAGCAGTATGTCTTACTCGTCTCGTCTGAATTGCAAAATTTAGGGTTTTCTGATTGTAAAGGAGTTCAGTATGTTTTGGGGTTACCCTTTTTCGGCAAATTATCTGTACTTCTGTGATTTCACTCGACTTAATGAAATTGCAGTAGCTTCTGATCTGATATTGCTGTAAGACTCTTACTTTACGTTTGCTATTGATCTGTTTTCTGTACAATGTTTTGTGTTCTTGCTGAAAACGATTTCTTTTGCGGACTTTGTCTAATCTAGTAACTAGAGGTTAGATCATTCTACTTGTTACATTCATTCCAAGGCAGAAAATTTATGATTTAATCGATCTCAGCATGTATATAGTCGACAAATACAAAGTTCTTCTCCCACTGGTAGAGTAGATAAGCAACAGCTGCGCTCGTGAGACCCAGACCAGCAAGTAAAACCCGGAGCTGAATCTCAGAAGGAATACCAGCACTCCCACAGAGGGCAACAGTCATGGCAATCAGTAGCTTCTGCAATGTCTGGAATGTCGAGTATGCTTGTTTGCAGGAGGAGCATTTCATGGTGTGCTGCTCAAATCTATCCAGCATCTACAAGGTGTGAGTGATAAGAGTAAGCAATTAATCCAAATTGGTGCATATGATGGGAGGTTCTGAAGGCTGAGTGTTGAGATGCTGCATTTATAATTCATGCCAGAATCATACCTCACGTTTTGAGAGAACAGTGGAGGGCAGAGGCTGTTGGGGAGGAGTAGAGCTGAACCACTCGGGTTGGCCGTGTCGCCTCAGCCAGTTGCGGAATGCCAAGACGAATCGGTCAGCTTGAGTGGGAGTGAATGTGATTTTGGTGTACTGCTTGTTTACATCTCCTTCAGAATCTTTTTCTAGTGACTGGAAGATCTTCTCTTGACCTTGAAGGACAATCATGTCTCCATCGTATACCTTGTTTGAGGTCCAATGCTCTTGCCATCTCGGAACTACCTGATGATATGGTAGCCAGCAGAATTGAAAACCGGTTAGATCTTTTGTTACACAGCAGACGAGATGTGTTTCTAAGGCCATGAGAGGTATTTTTACCTGCCACCATGCAGGCCCGGGCATTGAGAATTGGAAGAAGTTTCGAGCACTGCAAACGATTGAACGGGTCTTCCCTGGTGCCATTGGCACATTGAAAGAGCATATCCATATCACCCATTTCTGATCTCCGACTAGAGGAAGTTTTGTGTCTATCTCTACTCTGTATAAGTCACAAGGGTTTAGAACCATAGTCGAAGAATAGAGGAAGTTTTGTGTCTATCTCTACTCTGTATAAGTCACAAGGGTTTAGAACCATAGTCGAAGAATCCAGTACGACATCGCTACATAGAGAAACTAGCATCAATTTTATGGAATAACTGATGTCTAAGGCATGTTCAACCAGGTAAGTCCTAGGCTCCTAGCTATTGAACTTCTGAATAACAATCGCAAAGAAGAGCTGCTATAACATTTCATGAGACTTACTTATTCATATAATAACAGGGTGCAATAAACTTTACAGTGATCCTCGGGTTCCCTTCATTCGCCCCAGCAAATCCCCAGGGGCCCTTTGATTCCAGTTTAAACGGCAATGGCTTGGCTCTATCTCTCCTTCCAGTCACCTACCATCCATCATTCCACTGTCACATATTATGCAAACAACTAGTTTAAGCTTTGTGTACTTGGAAAAAGTCCCCAGTCTTAAACTTGTACCTTATGATGAGCAAAATCAATGTGGGAAGGATCAGAAACATTCTCCATTAAGGTATCATAGCCATAGTACAGATCTCTCTGAATCGTCACTGATGAGAATTCAGGCTTATCAAAGTCATCAGGCAACCTACAAACATATACAAGAAACACATTCCGAATCTAAGCGAACGATTCAATGGTTAGCGTCCACAAGAAACTCACAATTAGGGGAAAAGATCAGGATCAAGAACAATCACATTGGAGGTTTGATGGATTTAGCTCTTTCCAAGCCATTCTCATCTGGCCAAACAAAAAGCAAGCCTTGAGAAACCAAAGTAGGGAATCTAGTAGCACAAGCCCTTGGAGATTTGACAGCACGAGCTTCAGGACCATCTGACATCGCCTGTGGAATCCTTGCGCAAGATCCACATCCGCCGAACGACCATCCATGGTACGAACATTGCAGGTGCCCATTTTCATCGATCCTACCTTCCTGTCAAATCAAAGCAAACACAGGCCAAACTTCAAGAGCTAATCAACCCTCTTCTGCAAATGAAGTACCGATCCTAAACTTGGGCAACTCATAATTCAGGAGTTCTAAGTTCTCACAGCAAAGATCTTACTGAAATGTGCAGAACAGCAAAACATAGTAATGAATTGACGAACTTACAGACAGAGGGGCAAGCCTGTGAGGGCACTTATCATCAAAGGCAACCCATTCCTGGTTAGTGCGGTCGAACCAGAGGACCAAGTCTCGCCCAAGAAGTTGGAAAGGGGTAGGCAAGGCAGGGTCTAAATCTTCGATCAGAGAAACTGGGTACCAATGATCCCTCCAAACGAACTTCCCATCATCACCTTCTTCCCCTACTCCCTCTTCAGTCCCGTAATCTCCTTCTTCTCCCTGCTTCTCTTCCTTTTGTTCTTTCTGCTGCACAGACCGAGAGCGAGAAGGCGGCGCTGCAACGCGAAAAGGAGATACGAAGCGATGGGCTTTGTTGTTGGGCAGCTTCCTCGCTGCGGTCGAGCTTCTGGAGGGCAAAAAGAAACAAGCTTTGCAGTGAACAGTGGAGGTTGGAAGTGCTGGAGAAGGGAGTTTGGTGAAGCATTTGGTTGACACGAGAAGCGCCATAATTAAGTATTCTGTGGGTTGATTTCAGGGCTTTGTTTATTCCAGTTCCGCTGTTTCTGATTTCGAAAGGAGACGGAAGGAATGGCGTGCAAGTATCGGCAACGGCTGTAGAAGAAAATATTGGTCAGTTGAAAGTTGAAAGTGAAAGCACTGGCCTTTTTCTTCATTTCAAAGTTCGTTCTACTGCTCTGTTCTTTCTGTCAAGTACGAAGGTTAAAACAAAATTAACCGGCACATATGTATGGAAATTTTCAAACGATTTCAACGTGGCAACAATAAGAGCCGCATATTGTGGCCGCCCAGGAGCCACCGACCGGCGAGGGGCCATCTTCAGACACGTCGGAGTTGACTAGCCACGTTACTGGAGAAGGCCAAGTAGGAAAGCCAGCTGCAGCTTTCCAGTCTTTCCCCTCTCTTTTATTGCTTTCTCTTTCTCTTCTCTGTTCTCATTATCATGTTCAACTTTGCCACTGAAAAATGGATATGAAATCAATGAGTAAAGATGTGCCCTTTGGTTGCTTTGTTTTTGTTTGAAACAATCTGGTTCAAGTAAACGAATCTGAGGTCCACAAGACAAACGATCACTGTAGAATCTAAGGGTGGAAACAATGTAATAAAAGAACAAGCTAAATTTGCTAGTCAGCACCATTCATACAATACAAACACATAACAATTTATTGAAATCCCCATGGAAACGAAATAAATATTCCGAATTGCTTCCAAGAACGAATCTTTAGATTCCACATTGAAAAGCCACATTCAGTTGGCCATGCACTGAACTTAACAAGCCAACCATGATGCGAGGAGATGGTGAAGCAAATGCTGTTTCACTGAACCCTCTTCTGTTCTCTAACCATCCTGAAGCTATTATCTAATGCTGCATCAAATTCACTCATGGCTACTGCTCAATCCATATACACTAGGCTCGTTTATAAGCAAGACAGCGAATGATGGAAAGCTCGATGACTACACCATGGCATACACTAACCAGCAAGCAAAATCATTTCTTGGTGTAGCTCTGGAAATCTGGTCCGATATCACGGGAACCAGTGTTGATGTAAGGCCCTCGGAAAGTGGCTTGCGGCGGCAATGGCTTCGATGAGTCGATCACTGGCTTACTCTTCCCTGCTCTGCATCACAAGTAAGCAAAACCCATCATGGTCAAACCCATAACTAGTATTTCCCAGGCAGAAATGGCGGTGGAAATAAGTGATCAAAAGCAAACTCACGCCATGTAGAAGGGAAACGCCATTCCAGCACTAGCAAAGGCTAGTAATCCACCTGCAACGACGAGATTGCGAGCGCGAGACATCGACAAAAGGGTCTCCCTTAAGTGTTTAATTCCGGTTATCGGAGCGACCTGCGAGAAGATCCAAATTCAGTGCGCCTACTTCACTATCCAATCTAACAAAAAACAAAATTTGAAGGATTGTAGAATCCCAATCAGGAATTCAATCCCAACTGATTTCAATTCAGGGGGGGTTCCATTCGCCCGGTGGATTTGATATCTGCAATCATCGCCGGGACAAATGCGAAAGAAGAAAAAGAGGGGAAAACCCTAAGAAAGGGAGAAGAGTACGATCTCGTCCGGATATCTCACTCACCTCGAAGGAGTGGCAAAATTCTGAGTAACTGAGCGGTGCGGCCGAGCTGGCGAGTCGAGTTCGTTCGTCCGTCGTAGAAGAAGAAGTTGCGGTGGGTGGGTGAGTGAGTATGGAGTTTCCAGAGCTTCTCCGATCGACAGCGAACAAACACAAACGACGGGCGGGGAGAGGGATCCGACGATGAATAGCATAAAATGCTTGGGCTTTTGCTGGGACGTTGCGTCCGATTGGGCCTAGCTTAAGCAAATAGGCCGTATCCTCTGGCCCAGTCATTAAAGAAAATAACGAATCATCATCTCCTCGGAGAATTCCAAAGTTCAGCAGAGAGCTTGGCCGCCTGGGTAAGATCGGTAGCCAATTTCATGATCCATATTAACACGTGGAAATTGGAATTGGATGTAAGATTGAAAAACTATCCGTGGTTCGACTAGACCAGACCCTTGTTCGTGAATGTTTTAAGAGAAACCACCGCATGATCATAGTAGCACACCTCTACTTAAGTACTGGACTAGAGCTGTCAGAAGCTTCGATCTAAAATGAGCTAAAACAGACTAATGGCAGCATCTAGTGCAAAATTCTGGTGCCATATGGATTGAAACACTTCAATCCGAAACAATTCCCCTGGCATATCACAAACCTAATGAATGAGCATTTCGATTCGAGATAATCTCAAACAAAAAATGTTAGTTGGTTTGTTTGGGAACCCTAGTCCCTAGCCATAACACATTCTCTCCTTGTACTTCATTAAGAATGGCAGCATAAAACCTGGCTCTGATAGATGGCTCAAGCCTCTTCTGTTACAGGCTTACAGCTAGGGATAACTTGCAAAAACGAGCCACAGAATGAGAGGACGGTTTTGCAACACAAATCATGCAACAACCACATCTTGTGGAATTGTCAATCTCAACACAGCTTAAAGCAAAGAAGAACTAATATCTGGAACCAAAAAATGCAGACACTAAAACGGAAAGCCTACTACACCATATTGTCAGAACTCGACCATGTGTTCATGTCCATCACAGAAGATGCTAACACGAACATGAAACCACATACGCAGCAACAACAACATTAACATCCATGATTGACCCATCCACTGGACAGAAGTGACAGAGACCAATAGCCCAGAAACCCTTAGTTCATTAGAGTGGTTTACACGAAGAATAAACCATGACAGAGAGAGTATATAATGCTTCAGTAGGAGTATGTAGCTGGCATCAGATGTTGGAACTGCACGGTTGCTCTTTGGGTTTAAGCAACCATGGTCTGCTGGGCTTGAGCCTCCTGCTGCTGCTGGTAGTTGAGAGGTCTCCTGAACAACATGATGTGTGGCTCGGGTCGATGGATGGCGTAGTGAACCCATCCACGGCTCTGCTGAACACCAATTGCTCGCCATTCATTCTGCACCAAACAAAAGAAAGACATTATTCACACATCAGAAGACAAAACACAATCATTCTATACCGAACAAAAGAATGATATTATTCACTCATCAGAAGACAAAAACATCATTTCGCTTCATCCAAGTGGGAGATAAAACACATTGCAAAGTTACTGTTCTTCGTGTGCTAAATGAAGGATGAGTTTTGGTCCTTCTCCACAAGACAAGCAGGGTATCACTTAACCATGCTACCAAGCATAATAGAAAAGGAAAGGGCCAAAAATGCGTCAAGATCTCAAGCTTACAAAAGAGTCACTCTGCTTCTACCAAGTCGACATTTACCAAGCAGTTGCCATTAGCCCCTTACTAGTTCCTGAACCGAGGTTTGAATTCAGGACTTCGAATCTAGGAATTGTTCAGCCTAAATCAGTAAGACTCTGCTCTCTTAGCCTATCTAACAGCTGGAACGTAACAGCGAAACAGGAAGCCGACCTAATCCAAAGGGGCAACCCAAAGAAACCCTAACTATTCAATTACCTCAGAGAGAAGGCGATTCTTGGGGAGCAGTTTGGCCACCTCAGGAGGAAGGACGACATGCCTGCACCAAGACCATACAAATCCAAGATAAGCAAGAGATACACAGAGAGAGAGCACAATAATCGAACTCTGAAGAAACACAGCCAGCACAAAAAAAGAGTGAAGCGACCGGAGAAATGAAACAAGTCGGCCACCGGATCCACTCACCTGTACTCGTAAGTGTCATCGAAATACTTCTCAGAGTACTGGATCTGCCCCATCTCGTCGCTACCGCTAGGGTTTTCAGCTGATTCAAAAAGAAAGACGCCTTACAGATTCTTGAACTGCGTCAAATTCAAAGAGAGATCATGAGAAATCCAGGAAATGAAAACGACGGCATGTGTAGTTTCTCAACGATACCACAGGCGAGAGGATTAGATTAGAATCGGAGTCGGCTGCCGATGGAGGAATCACAGGAAGAAGATAAGAGGAGACGATCAGAAATTCAGACCTGTATCTGCGTGAGAGAGAGCGGTTGCGGAGAGAGCAGACAGACTGCAGAGGGTTACAGAATGGGAGGAGCGCCTACTAACACGAGTGAGAAAAATGAGGGTTTTCTAATTTATTCGTTTTATTTATTCTCTCATCGTTATACTGGATTTTTTTTACACATTTGAAATTCAAATTTTCGAATAATTCTTTCCTCCCGCCTTCCCCCAAACCATCACAAGTTACCAGCATAAATCGTGCGACGCACGCTTGCGTTTAGAGGTGGCAATTGGATCGGATTCGTGGATTCGCGGATTGGATTGGTGGATCCATGGATCAAATGGATTGGATCCAATGGATTGGTGGATTCATGGATTGGATCAAATGGATTGGTGGATTGATCCATGAATCCAAAATGACATCCAAGGCTTGGACCAAAATGTAAATTTTGAAAAGTTTAGGTACTAAAATGAAAAATTTTAGGTACCAAAATGTAATTTTCCAATGATATTTTTCGTATAAAAATATAAATTTTAGGTACCAAAATGTAAAATATAAAAAATATAGGTACCAAATTGTAATTTGCCATTTGGATCCATGGATTGATCCATGAATCCACCAATCCAATTGGATTTGGATCAAATGGATTGGATTTAAATGGATTGGATTAGGTGGATAATTTGGTGGATGGATTGGATTGGATTCATGGATTTGGATCATAATTGCCACCTCTACTTGCTTTTAAAAAAAAAGAGATTGAAAGATATCAGAGAGGTCGTTTGCTTTTGGTATTTTGGTGTTGGATTTTGGCCCAAAATCCAACATATGTTGGACTTTATAATGAATCCATGTTTGTTAGGATATAATGGATTTTGTTTAAATCTGTGGGGTCCACTAATATTGGATTATTTGGAGCTAAAATCCGTGGGCCCCATGGATTATAAAATCTTACCTCTATAGCTAGGATTTTGGAAGATAGATATAATCCATGATGTTTAATGACCGTGTTACCCCCACTCATTTTGTGTAATCCAATTTTGCCCTCGGTTATTATTATCTCTACTGAGGACTTTTGTCTACACTCTCATCTCACCAACTTTGTCTCTTCGTTGCCAAGGGATTGCAACACAGCAAAAAGCTCCGGCAACCTTTTCCATCTCTGCCTATCGTCGTTTTGTCTTCCTTTTATATGAAGCTCAACAATTAATTATTTCATGCTTACATCCTCTTTTTTTATAATCCAATCCAAACCCTTGATTTTCCTTTCGACATTATTGGTTTGGGTTGAGAGTTTCAATTTACTTTAATGGCTTCTTGCGTGTATACAATATGACCAAATAGTATGGATGTTGCTGCCATTTTTACATATGCTAATTCTTCATGTATATACAAAAACATTCAAAATACAAGTAAAGTAAAAAGTGGTTCATTAAGGATAAGAAAGTAATTTCCCCCATCAAGCCATAATTCCAACCTACTAAAAGCCATTACCAAATCCTACAAACAAACATGGAAGTTTCAAAATCCAACATAATCAAAATCCAACATAATCTCTCATATTCAAAATCCAAGGTTTTATCATAATCCCTCATTTTCTAAAATCCTAGAAGCAAACGACCCCAGAAATTCAGAATGTTTTAATTTAGTTTTTTTTTAACTTAGGTAGCTCTGTAATAGGTAGGGAATTACACAAAGTTGAAAAATAAATAACGGAAATCAGCCAAGTGCTGATTAGCCGATGCAAGAGCCGTTTTTGCCACGCAATGGGCAGCCCTGTTAGTCCTACGAGGGGAGAAAACAAAACGAATAAACGTGAACGAGGACTTCAGCACTCGAACCTCCTCAAGGATTGCTCCACCACGATCATGCTCAATGATATTCTCCGATACTCGCCGGATCACCAATTGCGAATCACCACAAAAGCAAACAGAAACAATGCCTCGGGTTAAGCACCAATCCATTGCATCGCGTAACGCTAGTAGCTCCATTAAAAAGGGATCAGAAATACTTTCATAATACTTGCCACAGGCATAAATGGGTGATCCTGCTTCTGAGAATCCAACAAAGCCTATGCAGCCTCCCTCTCCATGTCGCGTTGCGCCATCAAAATGGATCAACACACCCCCTGCTGGACAGGATGGAGACGGCGGAGCAGGTCTGGGGCGGCCATGAGAATACCCTCCACGTGAGCTGGAGTTAGTTGCTGCTGCCCATTCATCCTGCTGCTGTCGCAATTGCCGAACTAGAGGGCCTGGGAGATACTGCACATGGTCATAGCAAGACCAACAACGGGCCTTCCATATTCGCCAAGTAAGGAACACTAATTCCGCTATTTCCACTTTGCTCAGCTGCAACGAGTTGAAGATATGGGCCCATGCCAAATCGGGTGACATGGTAGCTATTAACTGCCGAACCTGTTCATGTCCAGCGAGAAACCAAATCTCCCTAGCCACCCTGCAATTAAATAAACAATGAGCAACAGTTTCCATTCCTCCAGAACAAACGGGGCAAACTCCTGAAATTTAGAATTTGAAATTAGGGATATAAAAATGTAAAAATCTAATACGAAGTAGTTACCTATGAGAGTCCAATGAGAGTCCAGTTTGGGATAGGGACGGATTGTTTGCTAGGGTTTAGTTAGGCTTTGAAGTTAGGGATATATAGGCTTTGAAGTTAGGGATATATGTGTCAATTTAGTGTGGTTTTGGGTGATTTTTTTTGAATTTTAGGGCAATGATTACCGATTCAGTTGCTTTTTCATAATATATGTTGTTTAGAGAAGAAAATTTCGCAACAAACTATCTAGCAAGGTCGATATTTTGGGTTTCATTGCGCACTTATTGTCGTACTTTGATTATATTAGTGTAAAGAAGAGTTGAGAACCAAAGGCGCAAACATAATTCAGGAAACTTCTGTTAACTATCACAGTAACGACACGAAGAAAAGTACAAAACTGTTCATATATATTCCCTCTGCGCGAAGAATACAAAATGATGGAGCCAGATTTTCTGCAAACTGTAGTTACTTAATAGTTAGTGCCTGTACTTTCTGTTTTCTACATTACCATCCATCTTCGCACTGTCAAGCTTAGCTTACCATCCATCTTCGCACTGTCACTAACTAAAACCCTACTAGTTAGCACTCTTGCTTTCCCCTCTTTCTATATTTCTACAAAAAAAAAATTTGAGGCAAAACTCCCCTCCCACCTCCACTGTTAACTACTGTATCCATATATGCGCCCTGCCTGCCACCCTTCGCACTGTAAAAAGGAAGGCGTAGCGAGGAAAAACAACGAAAGAAAATCGATTCTGTACACTACTAGGAAGCTGTCCAAAAAAGTTGCATTCCCCTGGTCAAAATTAGAGACCTCGGCGCTTCAACTGCATCAGCCGCCTTCAGACTTGCCGACGATTCTGCAGTTGGGGACTGGTTTCTGCAGCATTGATGTGCCTTGAAATACCATCATCTGATAATCCTTCCTGAACTTCACCACCTGCAAGTATTCACATCCAAGGGTATATAGTCTACTATAGAGACTGAAAACTGAGTTAAGTAAACAAGCGTGTTAGGACAAAGGATATGTAGATAGATACCTCATCCTGATTCATCTTAGTGAAACCGAATTTGTTTATCCAGATGGATTCGGCTTCTTCGGCAGCAGGGAGTATAAAATTCTTCACATTGAGGGATCCGAGGAGTTTCTCCAGACAATCATACAAGACTTGGAAATAACCCTGCAGATTTTAAGAAAAGCCAAAGGAAGGTACATTTACATTGTTATAATATAAAGCAAGAGGCAGTTTTCTAAACTGAATACGGAGTAGATTGGAGAAACACCATATTTGACAAAAATATCGCATGGTAGAATAAGGTAATCCCAAATTACCTGTCCTTGGAACTGACTACTTGTTGCAACCAAAGGAAGTTCAGCCAGCTCTTGCCCAAACACCCTGATTATAGCAGCAGAAACAACCACATTGCTGCAGTAGCAGGAACCAAATGTCAAATACAAATAGGAGAAAAGTTATTCAAAATGGTACTACAAATGACCATGATGCAAGTCTTACTCGACTAACAGCACAGCACAATACATTCCACCAAGTTCCTGGCCTTTGATGTTCCTTCTGAAAGAACAATTAAGATTGTCAATAACCTTGGATTTAATAAAATCATGAAAATGATAGCTAAATACAAGAAGAAACTTTAAACAAAGAAGTACAAAGATGCATGGACAGCAGGAACATTGAAGAATATATTTGCTTACCCATAGACCATAGAAGGGATGAGATCCCGGTCTCCTTGGCGGCTAGATGTCTCAACCACAATAGGATCAAAGCGTTCCTAATCCCAACAAAACGTAATCACAGTTTTAGCCATCTTATCTTGAATGCTTGAGCATCAACATAATGGAAATGATAAAGGGAAGTAGACCATAATGTATGCACTCCTTGTAACTCACATGGAAGATGGTGACAGCATCAGAGAGCAACCTTGCACTGTCTGCAGATGGATCTGCTCCTTCATTAAGAAGCCTCCATCTCACGTCAACACATTCCTCGGTGTTCACACTTTCAACCTTATGCTTTTGCTTTATAATGTCAAGACAAGAACCTGTAAGCTTCTCCTCCCCCCGAACAACCAAAGCTTGCAAAGCAGAATGAATTTTGTCACATTCTATGCAACAAAGCCAATCTCCTTCAGGTAAAGCCTGTTGAACAAAACCTTATCAATGTCAGATAAACACTAAGGTGAAAGAAGACACAGGCCATAAAGAAAAACATGGTATCAAAGGTTAGTTACCTTCAGATCTTGCATGTTGTTATCCCTTAAGCAGCCCACATGGAACTCTTTCTCACACTGAAGAAATTGTAACAAAAGTGCAGATTTTAGGGGGTGGGGGGAAAAGATGTAAATAGTACGCAATTTGTAGCAACTGCATGAATAATTTGTACTGATTGTACCTGATCACAAAGTATGACTGTACGGGGACCAAACGATTTGTCAAAATCATGTTCTCTGCAAAATAAACATGAATAAACCATTCTGCTAAGGACTCTTTCGTAACAAGACAAACAATGCAAAGAACGTATGAAGCAGCAACAAATGCACCAAATGGTAAAACAGAGAGCCCCGGGAAGGCCAAGCCGAAGACTAAATAAATCTAGGATTGAGAATCAAGCAGTCCATACTGGGCATCATTGAACGTGAAATGTAAACTACAAAATTATTGGATTTTAATAATGATGGAGAGATGGGGCTAACCTGCAGAAGAAACATCCCCCATAATCAGTATCCATAGTTTTGACAATACGAATACATCTCCTAGTTATCTCTTCTATAGGATCCACCCCTGCAACCCTGCCTGCTGCTATTGCATTCGCATTACGCTCCCAAAACTTTTCATTCTGGTTGTTCACGCAGTATTTGCAGTACCATTTATCATTAGGAATGCTCGTCAGCAATAGACACTCTGCAAATGTTAACGTGATATAAATATGAGTAAGAAGACAAGTAAATATAGAATCACAGAGAAACTAAGCCCAACTTAGTGAACAGAGCAAATTACTGAAATTACGTCACGATTCTAAGACCCATACTAATGTCAGGGTAAAAAGAAAATATATCATACCCCCCAAACTAGAAATTATGGTAGTGTAAAGGCAAGTGGACAATATGGGTCCCTGACTAGCATTAGAATCTTGTAATCCTGCAAACGAAATCCTTTACACAAAAGAAGACGTAGAACTGCTTCTGCTCACTATCCCATACTGAGACAAAGAAGCTGTGAACTATGTGATGTAATCATAATGTGAAAGATTAACGTTGAATCTTGAATTTTACAGTTTTAACTTGCTGAATTGACACACATGAAACCGTATAATCACAATACTAACTTTTTCATGTTCAAACTAATGGTCTTTGAAAAGCATACTGCAAAATGGAAAGACCATTTCCTGGAGGAACACCTTAGACTATGAGAGCTGACAGGTATGTCAAGTAATCACACAGAAACAAACTTACCTTTGTGAAAAGATCTTGGGCACCCATCACAACAAACAAGATCCCCACCATCTTTACAGATCTGGCAAAGGTCATCATTCTCGTGTGTAGAGAACTTCCCACATTTGGCAAGAGAAACTGACAACTCATGAAGGGACACACCATTTGATGTATATATGTGCAAATAACTGCATACAAAAAGAAATAATAGTGTCAGTTTCATTTTGATCCAAGACTCCGGTTTCACTAGAGCACTTGAAATTGCAACGTTATGATTCTTGGGAGTTCTAACTCTTAGATACCGGAGATGATGATCCCGATTAAAAAATCAGCATATAAATACTCACGGTTTCCGATGTGATGCCCAACCAGCATGAGCTTCAAACTGAGATGGGCTAACCTGCCAATTGAATGTCAAATGCAAAGATCTTTAGTGCTGCGCCACATACACTAGACAATTATGACATCAGGATAAGGATTTTACCTCAGTGTTGCAGCAAGAACAAACTATTCCAAAGCCTTTCTTATAGCCCACAAGCAATTTCTGCAGAGTCAGAAGAGATACTAGTAAGAAAAGAGAAATTGTATAAAAAAGCAAATTATGGCAATGAAAGCTGCAGGCACCTAACCTGTCCACGAGAATAATATGCAACTTCAGTTCCATCAGGCAACACGTCTTCCTCAAAAACTAGTTTGTGCAACCGTAGGTCCCTGCAGAAAGAAATATCAGATAATAAACTAAGTCCCAACCAAGAGCTAAAAGGAAAAGATAGATTCGATATTCATTCCATTGCTTGACCAAATATTCAAGTTAAGCTCAGGGCGGGAAACATAAAACTACTAACTTTCTGGTAAGTCTGCCCAGGCTCTTGCTTTGAGATGCTGAGGGCTTTGGCACACTGTCAAATGTCTTTCGGACTAAAGGTGGTTCAGGAGACCTGGGACTAACACAAAATAAGGCATACATTACTTTGCCAAATATGTAACAAATGAACCATAGAGAAGCAAGAAGTATAATCGTTCATATTACAGAATGGATAACACATAATTGCAAGATTAACACACATAAACGCAATTGTAGTGCATAAACTATTGCATATGCACATCCCTGACTGCTGATTGATGATATAAGCTATGTAACCGTTGCAAGTTTCAGCATGCATTTCCAGCACATGCAACTCCAGTTCTATACAGGTAAAATAAATCACATCTTGATTCATGAATCATGACTGCCAAATCATATGACAGCAATATCAACATTTACTTGGGAAATAAACACATCCACTTAGTCTTCAGTTTTCTGTCACAGGACACGCATAGTTATGCTAACAACCAGCATTTTATGGATTGTGTATGATAATATATGGTTAATTGATTCAAACCTAGCTAAGACTAGCTCCCTAAACCTAGGAAACCTGCCATAAATATATTAACCAAGTGAACAATGTGATCTTATTTAGTCAGTAGCAAGCAGATACAACTTTAAAAAGAGAAGAGCCATCCATCTAATATCTCATGAAAGTATACCTGTCATTTACAACTCTAGCAGTGGACAAACAAGCACTAGTATCCTTTAAGTTCATGCATGACGAGCAATAAATCATTGAGCTCCCATACGCAGTGTCCAGCATTGAC